AATCTGAAATCTTTACTTGATTAATGGTTTTTCATCACAAATCCATGAAAGTTGTAATCTGAAGTCTTGAGGCAGAAAGGTAGAGCTTTGTATTGTTCTATTCTCGAACACCGCTAGTTTGCTTTACTACCGACAACTACATAGAGTTAATACATTTATGTAGTTGTGTTAACTAAATGAGTATATGTTTTCGTTGATCTCGGCTAAAAGAATCACATAGCTTAATTAACTGGTTAGATTATTGAAACCTGCTCACCCATGTTTACGACTAAGTACTATTTTTTCAATGGTAGGTGATGTACCCGTCGATTGCGAAGCGTCCGTACTGATTTCATATATAAGAAGGGAAGGGGCACCATGCAAGAATGACGAGCTCTCTTGCACGGTAAGCCACCTTCCATGTTTATCATCAGGACCCATTCATGATCAACCATGTGATTTCATAAGGTTGTGTGTTACCGCTACATCAACCTATGGATCGATCACCGGCGACGCTTTAGACATCAAACCTAGTGATGACCAGTCCACAACTACACCGACAACTCTACCCTACGGGGAGGATTCATCTACTACAGGGCTATTGGCTTCACAAAATTAGATGATCATGCGTGTTTAGGCTAACATTTCAGATTATAAGTTTTGAAACATACACTATGTACATAAATATAAAGTTACATCGTAAGTTTGTAACTATCTAGTTGCAGTTTAAGTATGATATATTTACATTTCAATGTTTTTTACCTCAAAGAATTTGTAACAATTTTTTAGTTACTCCCATCTGTTTTGGTTGATGAGGTCTTAGAAATTTTTGGTGATCTCTAATCTTGTTGTAGCTCTCGTGATCTAGTAGGAGACACATGCACCTACTCGGAGTCTTGATTAATCTTCATATTAGGTATATGTAGGGTAACTAGCAAAATGCCTGTGCGTTGCACCGTGTAATGGTGGGTGACTGAAGTTTGATTTCAATTATTTATTGAAGCACCCCAAGCATGATCATAAGCATCGATGATGTGTATAATGACCAAAAAGTCAAGTTTGTTCTCGAACAATTAATTTGCTTTACATTTTACAGGATATGGATGATGCTCATGACACGAGGTCGATGGTTGTAGCATATGGAGGAACAAATGGGTGCACAATGCAATTGCTTTTGTACTGGAGACGATTGATGGAAATCTGTGTGATGAACGAAAAAATCGATATTTTCTTAAAGTAGGTAAGTGTAAAAAAAATAAGAGGAATTGAGCGGACGACACATCCGAATCGCAGCATATAAAAATTGTATTTTCTATACTCATGCATTGCTACATGATGAAAGTGCCTGAGATTGAACTGATCGACACATCTAAATCGTGGCACATCGAAATTATATTTTCTTATATTCTATGCATGGTGGTCGTCATTGATTGGTCAAATCTAATTATAAGCCATGACGACTCATTAGCAACCAAAATATATTTCACGGATAAAACTTTTATATACATGTAAAAGCCAATGCTGAACAACAAACTACATTAAGAAAACTTCAAAATTATGTTTTAGAAATAAATTAAAATTCAAAATTATAAACGGGCAAATACGATTTTTTTTCATTTATATTCCTAGCAATATATATGTGTAGTAGCTAGCTTCATTAATTCAATATTATTTTATTTTGATGGTGCCAAGGCATGATAAAACAATAGCAATTCTGGTAAAAGAGATTGAACAGTAAAAAATATTCTATTATGTAGCTTTCAAGATTTCCATGCATCCAGCCATCCAGTAACACTAATATCTATTTAGTCATAGCACCATATGTCACAGACGGACATATCCAACTTTATCTCTTTCTCTTCTCCCTTATCTATTCTTCGCTCTCCTAGAGCCATGCAACACTTCTCCCCTCATCTCTTTCTCCTCTCTCCCACAGCCTCTCTCTCCTACATCCACACACGAGCAGCACAGTGTGAGCAACAGCAATGGCGCTGGTGGCCCCGACTAGCGAGCAGAGACATCGGCCTCGTCGAGCAGCGGGAGAAGCGACAGCCTCCGCACCGGCGACAAGCAGTGGCCTCTGCCTCGTCAAGCGGCGGGAGAGGCAACGGCGTCGGCATAGGTGGCGACGATCCCGCTGTGCAGCTGCCTTGGCCTCGGGCAAGCAACGGCGGCATGTCTTCAACATGCCGTGGATTTTGTTGACTTAGGCATCAATCTGGCATGTTCTGGGTATTGATTTAGACATCAATATATGATTTGGACAGAGTATGCTCGAATTGAGCTTCTTCCGATTTTGTGAAACAGATCGAGGCATAGGAGAAGTTGGCGGTGCAGTTATGTCGACGTTTGGCTGGGTTTTGGATGTGAGTCATTTTTTTTTCACTCAAACGCCCCGTGGCTGAAAAAACCGGCACCTATAGCAGTATATAAGTGCCGGTTTATAAAAAAAGGCTTATATTATATAATAGATGATGTCGGCGAATGATCAATCGTGTGCCCAGTGGTTAATGATGTGATCTAACAGATGTAGCATGTGCCGGTTTTGTTAATAAGAAAAGGTGATAAAGTGTTGAAAAAAATACAGCAGGAAATTTTTCACAAAAAAAAGGTTAGGAAAGGGAAGGGAAAAGAACAGTCTCTAACCATAGAGATTGTGGGAAACGAACCAACGACCTATCGGTCAAATGTTTCATAGGCTAACCAATTGAGAATCATGAACATTGTGCTATGCGGTGTAGCTACATTTTAAAAATATGAATATTCAGCTGAGCGTTGCTATGTCCACCCCTGTATCCGATGCATGTTGGAGTGCACGGCAAAGAAAAATATCAGTGTGGACCCGGACTCAGTCCCCGTGTGCGGGCGGCCGCCTCCTGCTGCGCGCCGCCCGCCGCAGTCCGCCCGCCGGCCGCGCGCCACTCGCGCCGTCCCCGATGTCGCCCGCCGCCTGCCGCCGTCCGTCCGCCAACCGCGCGCCGTCCCCGATGCCGCCCGCCGTCAACCTCGCCGCCAACCGCGCGCCGACCGCGCACCAACCCGCCGCACGCCGCCCACCACGTGCTGCTCGCCGTGCGCCGGCCGCCGTCGACCCCGCCGCCCGCCGTGCGCCGGCCGCCGTCGACCTCGCCACCAACCGCGCGCCGGCCGCCGTCGAGCTCGTCGGAGTGGAGAGTGAGGGTGACGGCCTGATGGGAGGGAGAGAGGGGTGAGAGATGAGTTAGGGGTAGTTGAGTGGCAATTTTGTGTAAATATGTAAAAAATTTAAAGGGTAGTGGGTCTTTTGGTTTGGAGTGGAGTTGTGGAGCAGCAAAAACCCAGCTCCACCCCCGTAGTACAAATTTGTGGAGTAGCTCTGCCAACTCCGCTCCCAAAAATAGAGGATCTGGACTGTTTGACATAGCTCCTGCTCCAGGTAAGTTGGAGTTAGGAGCTGGAGCTGTGCCAAACGGGGCCTTAGTATAGGCAAGTCACAACGTGACATACCATGCATCAAAGCCGTCCAAAATGGATCGAACGGGAGATGGCGTTTGGGCCCGCCTGCAGGTCGAAATATCGCCGCTCGCCACCCATCCAGCCGTCCCGCGTCTGGCCGTCGCCGGGAGCGCGAGCCAACTGAGAGGCTCGCCGCCGCCGCGCCTGCGCCAGGCCGCTGTGGTCGCCGCGAGTGAGGAGGGGACCGGCTGCCGCCGCGCGAGGCCAACTCCCTGCCCTGCCCTGCCGTGACCTGTGGAGAGGCGCCAGGCCAGGCCGGCGCGACCGGGGACACGTGGAGGCGGCCGGCCGCCGGGCCTCACGGCGCGGTGGTGCAGGCGGACGGTCGCCCAACCCGAGCCCGTCGCGTGGAGGAGAGGACGTCATGGAGGAGGCCGTGCTGCTCCATGCTTGCTGCTCCATCCATGCTGCTCCATCTAGCTATATTGTTCCACGCTTGCTGATGCTAGATGAGCAATTGTTTTTAGTTATGTTTTCAACTTGTCCCAATTGTTTCTGAAAAGCATTGTTCAGATTCAGCATGTTACCAAGTTTTCCTGTAGTTCTACATTTCCATTGTTCTACACTAATCTCCAGACATTGCTCTGCTTACAGTATCTGTTTGTTCTGCATGTCAGTTTTTTAGAAGATTATCTTTATTTGGTCAGATATGTAGCCGGAGTGCCCAATGTTATGATATCATCAATAAACACCTGTTTTGTGCAGTCATAAAAAACATCATAAATCTCTGTTCAGCATATCAGAACTGCTGAATCATGTTTCACCATTTTTTTTATGACAAAAATCAAGATTACATAATCAATTTGCCCAAACTCACAATGCCAAACAATAACAATTCACTTCCAATTAGGAGTCTGCATCATCCCAGGCAGCAGGGCAGGACTAGGGCATTTTCCACAATACAGAACCACAGAGCAGGGGCAGGGCATTTCACAATACAGAACCACACAACCTCGGGGGCATTTCCACAAACACCTCGCGGGCACAGGAAACAGTGCAGCGTTCTCCATTGTACGAAGCCATGCGGCGGTGTCCCCCCTCGCTGGCGACGAAGTGGGCGGCCAACCGGTGCGGGCTCTGACGCTGAACTCCATCAACGAGTCGAGGCCACCGAAATTGGAGGTGCGGCGTGGGCGGAGTGTATTCCCGACGGCCGGCAAGAGCACCGCGGCCTCCTCCACGCGCCGGGTGCCTCCCCACTCGCGGTGGCGCGCCTCCCAGCCGGACGAGGCCGACCGGCGAGGCGAAGCGCGGCTGCGCGGGCGGGTCGCGGCGGCAACGCTGGTTCCTCCCCATTCGCGGCGGCGCGCCTCCCAGCCGGACGAGGGCGACCGGCGAGGCGAAGCGCAGCTGCGCGGGCGGACGCGGTTCTGGAGCGAGGCCGTCTCAGGCTGCGGGGCCTCCTATTAAATGGCAATTGTTTTGCCTGCGTGCGGGCCCAACTAGAGCAGCCGTTCGATTCGTTTTGGACGGCTTTGATGCATGGTATGTCACGTTGTGACTTGCCTACACTAAAGCTGAGTCCGTGTGGACCCCACCTCCTCTCGAACTTTATCTCCTTCTGTAGAATCCTCCGCCTCCGCTTCTCTCTCTCGTCGCTCTCTCCGTCTTTACCGTCTCTCCTTCGCCACTCCCCAGCGGCGGCGCGCCTTCTCCCTCTCCCAGCGACGGCAGCGCGCCATCCACTCCCTTCCTCCCAGATCCGACTGGATGAGGGGAGGGCAGCGGCGTGGAGGCGGCGCTCCCCTCCCCTTACTTTCTCCCCGCTCCTGGATCAGGCTGTAGGAGGGGAGCGATGGTGGGGGCAGCCACCGCATGCGACGGAGGTGGCGCTCCTCCCTCCCTAGCTCCCAGATCCGGCTGGAGGAGGGAGCGATAGTGGCAAAGGCGGCGCTCCCTCCCCTCCCTCCCAGATCTGGCCGAAGGGGGAGGGCAGCATCGGCTCTAGCGACGGTGGCGCGCCTTCTCCACTCTCCGACTCCTCGGCGAGCAGCAGGTGCGACGATCTTACCATGGATGAGCAGCGGGAGCGGCGGTGGCCTCGGCCTCAACTAGCAACAGGAGTGACACCGTCCAGTGGCATTGGGGCAGCGGGAGCGACGTCCTCTACCTTGACAAGCAGCGGGAGCGGCAGCATCCACGTCCTTAGCTAGCAACAGGAGTGACGCTGTCCAGTGGCGTCGGAGCAGCGGGAACAGTATCGTCTTCGTCCTCGACGAGCAAGGAGGAGCGGGAGCGGCGATAGACTCGGCCTCAGGCCCAGCGGCAGTGGCGGTGTCCCCGACGAGCAGTGGCCTCGACATCTGGCGAGCTCAGCATTCTGTTAGTATTTAATTTGTTGTGATTTCATTGATGTAGACATTGTTCTTTGATTAGTCTTTTTTGCTCGTCAACTTTTTTTTCTGGAACCGAGTTGGACCCAATGAACTATATGGACTAACAAAAATTTGTTTGGAAGCATACCTAGGGCGATTTTTGATTTTTGATTTTTGGATTTGTTTTTGTCTGTTCTTTTTCTGATATTTTCTGATCTGATTGTCATGGAGACGGATAACGCGTACGCGGGCTCACATATTACGGACGAAAATCGTGTGTGAATGATGTGACGAAAGGAAAAATACGAATAGTTATATAAGATTAAAATAAGATAAGATATACCGAAAGAAAACAAACTAATTAATTAATCTCTCCAAAAATAACTCCTACAGGGGTACGATTAAACTGAGTAGGAGTAGCTAATTAAGCTGTGTTGGCGTTATGGCAAAGTAACGCAGAAGCAATCGAAAACTAATTAGAATCAGATTGGATTTGGAGTACGAATCGGAGTTGCTCGGCCTGGTTCTCGCAATAAATACAAAGAGCACCAAACAGCTCGCCAAGCACCAATAAACGTCGTTTCAACAGTTGAGCTCACCGCGCAACTAGCGAGCGAGTTCGTCCCGTCCGTCCGTGTTCAAGCTCAACAGCAATCCCCCGGCCCCGCGTGTTCGACGAGAAACAAACCAACATCAATGGCGGCAGCAAACGACGGAGCCGACGCCGGCGACAGCAAGATCCTTCTGATCAGCTCGGACGGGCAGCACTTCCAGGTGACGGAGGCGGAGGCGAGCATGTCGAAGCTAGTGAGCAACATGATCGAGGACGACTGCACGGAGAACGGCGTCCCTCTCCCCAACGTCGCCTCCAACGTCCTCGCCAAGGTGCTCGACTACTGCAAGAAACACGCCGCCGCCGCCGCCGCCGCTGCCGAGGACGTCGCCGTGAAGGATCAGGAGCTGAAGAGCTTCGATGCCAGCTTCATCGATGTCGACAACACGATGCTGTTCGGCCTGATCTTGGCCGCCAACTACTTGAACGTACCGTCTCTACTTGATCTTGCGTGTCAACACACGGCTGACTTGATCAAGGGCAAGACGGTACAGGAGATCAGGGACACGTTCGGGATCGTCAACGACTTCACACCAGAGGAGGAGGAGGAGATCCGCAAGGAGAACGAATGGGCCTTCGAGAACTGAACCATTTCCTTTTATCTTAGAAGAATTTCCAGGCTAGTAGGGAAGAAGTTTGATCGGAATAAATATAAAATCTTTTTCTTAATACTATTTAATGATTGACAAGATATTTAGTCATTTGTTATGTGTTGTTTACTATTCCCTCTGTTTTATATTATACTATCTTCGTTTTTAAAATACATATCACCTCTGTCCCCTAATATAACGGATATTCACTATTTTCTTGTAACGTTTGACCACTCGTCTTATTCAAAAAATTTGTGCAAATATAAAAAAAGAAAAGTTATACTTAAAGTACTTTGGATAATAAAGTAAGCGAAAATTCTTAGGATCGGTCGACCAGGGGAGGGGGAAAATCGGTCGCTTCCCCTTGCCCCACGCGCGCACCCCCACTAGGCCCACTGTCACATCCTTATTTTCGTCTTAGGATTTATAAATTATTTAATAAATTATTATTATAATTTATATTAAATGTTCATTAATTTACAAGTGAAGTTAAATGTGGGAAATAAAATTTCCTAAATACAAAGCATGGCTGGATTTAAGTTTTATTAAATTCTCCATGGTTAATTATACTCTCTGGAATTTTCTCGGATTTTTCGGAACTCAATTCCTAATTTTAATAATACAAAGAACATTTCAGTAATTAATCACATATTAAATTAATCATTAAGTGGTCTTATTATATTTTTTTAAATATTTATAGTGTTAAAGTACTTTCAGGATTTTTCTTGAAATTATTAGAGCATTGGAAGTATTTTTAACAATTCAAAGATCATTTTAGTGATTAATTTAATTGGAAAAGTAAATTAAATCCCCTTTTCCTTTTCGGGCTGAAACTGGAAAAAGTCTATCTGTCATCCTCGGCCTATTCTTCCTCTTTGCCTGCTTCCCGTCCCCAGGACCTCCTCTTTCGTTTCCAACCCCTAGCTCGATCTCTGTAACGCCCCGATTTTCGTTCGGGATTAAAAATCATTTAATGATGCATTTCCTAGAAATTGAATAAAAAGTTAAGCAATTTAATCAAGTGAAATAATAGGAGAATTAAAATTTTCCCTTAAAAATCATTGGCCGGGAATATTTTGTAATATTCTTTGTGCCCTAATGTACTCTCCGGAATTTTCCGTGAATTTTCGGAGCTCGAGAAATAGTTTTAAAGTCACGAAGATCATTGCATCAATTAAAATAAAAAGAAAACAAATAAAATTTCCCCCTTCCTCTCTTTGGGCCATTTTCGGCCCAAGTCTTCTTTCCTCTCCCGCGGCCCGCGCGCCTCCTCCCTCTCTCGGGCCGGCTCCCTTCTTCCTTGGCCCGCTCGCAAAAGTCTGTTTTGCGTCCCTCCTTCTCTCCCTTCGCCGACAGGTGGGACCGGCGGTCCCACCCGTCAGCTCCTCCTCCTACCTCTCGCCGGCCGACCCCAACCGCCATAGCCGTCCACGTCGCCGCAAAATCCGGCGCCCTCCCGCACCCGAGCTCGCATCCAACGACGTGGGCACGATCCCCTCCACGTCCTCCACCATTTCCCCCACTCTCCCCGCGAAAATCGGCACCGGTTAACCCCTCCACCACCCCACGTCGGCGCCCCACTTCGCCGGCCGATTCCGCCACGTCCGGCCTCGATCCCGCCTTCCCGAGCCCATAAAGAGCATCCCCGTGCTCCCCTCGTCCGTTTCCCCATTTTTCCCGAGCCCGGCATACTCTCCCTCGCTCTCCCCACGCCGCACCCACGCGCTGCCACACTCCGGCGAGCTCCGGTCGCCGTTTCCCGCCGCCACAGCCGTCGCCGCGCCGAGCCACCGCCACCGCCAGCTTCGCCACCGCAAGGGGAAGTCCGGCCGCCTCTTATTTCCCCCTCTCCACCCCTCGAGCACCACTCCCACCGCACACCCGAGGCCGCCGCCCCTTTCACCGCCTCCAGCCGCGTCGCGCCGCCGCTTCGGTCGACGTCGACTCGCGCCGTTGCCTCCCTCAGCTCCGCAAGGACGAGGAGGACCTCGGCCGCCGCCCCTCTTCGCCGGAAATCCGCCGGAGCTCCTCCTTCCTCGGTCGCCGGTGAGCTCTACCTCTTGTCATCGCCATCGGTCTTCGTTTCCAGTCACCCCGCATCGGTCCTCCCCTCCCTAACTCCCTCTTCTCCTTCTGAAGGTCAAGGGCGACCCCGTCCGCCCTCCGTCCTCGCAAGCCGCCATTGGGCAATCGTCGTCGCCGTCCTCTTCCTCCACGTCGGCCGCCGCTTCCGGTGAGGATCTCTCCTCCCTTCCTTTTTTCCCGTCCCCTTTCTTGCCGACCGCCGCCTCTTGGGGTGCGTCGCCGTCCCCGTGCGCGCCGCTGTCCTCCGGCCACCCGCCGCCGTTCCACGTCGCCGGCTGCTGCAGCCGGTTGCCGCCTCCCCCTTGCCGCCTCCCCCTTGCCGCCGCCGCGCCATGTCTCGGCCGAGCCGGCTTCATGCCGTGCCCGTGCCCCAGCCGCGCCGCCTCGTGTCCGTCCGATCGGCTTTGGGCCGATCCGGGCCGTCGGATCCCGTGGACCGGCGGTGGACCGCCTCGGTGGTCCCGGTCCACGGTGGACCGGCGCCTTTGTGCCGCTGACCGGTGGGGCCCGCTTGCCGGCGCCGCCCCTCCCCTTTGCTGACGTCAGCGAGGACCTTTTCCTTTGTAAAAATAAATAGTAATTGCGCAATAAATCGAGTTTAATTCTAGAAATTCATTCAAATGGCTCAAAACTTCTAAAATTCATATCTAATTCATTCGAACTCCGAATTGAGCCATTCAACTTGCAAAATTCATCTAAAATTGAGCTCTACATGTTTGTTTACTTTTTATGTACTGTTTGCTTGGTCTTTATTAGAGTTTTTCCTCGTTTTGCGTGCCAGCGTGTAGTTTCTGTCGTTTCGGAAGTCCACGGTCGCGAGGAAAAGAGTTCGGAAGATCAAAGTGAAGAAGCAAGGCAAGTCACACATTCCCCTTGAGCATGTTGATCCCAATTTATAAATGTTTTACCGTTTACAAATAAATATGCATGTTTTGCTAATTACATGGGATCTGGGTTTTACCTATCTGCTCGCTTGTGCCATGTTTACTTGATATCTGTTCTTTGTCAACCTTGGGTAATGAATCGACTAGCTCATGTTACTTATGTGACCTAGCTAGAACTATATGCTTAGCCATGCTTAATTACCACTAGCTCAGTTGATGGGATAACTGCAGTATTAGACCTTTTTAGTATCAGAGTGAGCTGCGTGCTCGAGACACCTGGCCATGCTTCATGGTCGTAATTATCCAACTAAAATGCGACTGAATGGTGGGCTGTGGGTGCATGGTTTTGCTGGTCGCACCCATGGCAGTTAAGGACCGGTTCGCGGGATGCCCTGGAAGAACTTATCGTACTTACCACAAGCCAGCGTGGGCAACGGCTGGGCTTGTAGTGTAGCTTTTCTCTAGCCGACGTACCCAGGCGAGGGTGGGCATGATGGAGTTGGGTCGGCCGGGGTGTCCGGTTGATCGGCTTCCGGATTCACCGCGGCACGAAAGGGGGGCTGCCCGTTGCCTGCTGGGGACGGGGGCGAACCCTAAGGTGTGGTGCGATCGGTTAGAGGGGGTTATGCGAAGGGTCCTGTCACGGCCTCTTTCTGGTATGTCGTGGTGGCATGTCGGCGCACGGAAACGTGTCGTGGGGCTGTGTCTTGTGGGTACAGTTGTACACCTCTGATCAGAGTAAAACTATTCGAATAGCCGTGCCCGCGGTTATGGGCGGTCGACCAGATTCACCGTGATTAGTCTCACACTTAATAAATCGACCTAATACACTGTAGTTTAGGTGGGTTGGTTGGGCCTGTTCAACGTGGTGTAGCGTTGATCAGTGGAGATTTAATGTTACTTTAATTACTCAACAGTTTTACTGTTTTGCTCAATAAAATGTTTTACAACCGCCTTTATGCAAATAGCCACAAACCGTCCTTGTGTTCCCCTTGCACGTCTGCATCGTTGGTGTGGCTTGCTGAGTACGGTGGTTGTACTCAGTCTTGCTATTATTCCCCCTTTTCAGAAGTGTAGTGCTTCTGAGCTGAAGACGAAGTTAGAGGACCAAGGCTCAGACCCCAGTTGAGTTTTGCCTGTGGAGTGGAGCTGAAGCCCCGCTAGGATCGCCTTTTTCCGCTGCTGCTGTTTTCGTTTCGGTGCGAGGACTAAGTGCCTCTTTTGTAAGTATTTTACGCTTTATTTACGTTTGGAACTGTATATTACTTGTCGTTTTGTGTACCCTGGCTGGTCCTGGACAGGGATTTAATACACAAAATAGTCTGGAAATTTGGGCTAAATTTCTGGGCGTGACAAAGTGGTATCAGAGCCAGGTTGACTGTAGGTTGAGCCAAATGGTCAAACCCTAAGGACAAGTTTTCTGAAAACCCTACTTGCAAATTGTCTCCTCTCGCCCTTCGGCATTTCTTTGTGAAACGGTTTTTCAAAATTCTCCTCCCAATCTCTCCAATTCTTTTAGTTGTCAAACCTAGAGGACCAGCTGTCAGCTTCATGTCTGTTCGGAAGTCAAGTCAATTCGAGCCTCAAGCTTCGTGCAAGGAGCGAGAAGATCAGTTCAGAGTCGTCGTTCTGCGAAGATCAAGTGGAGTTTTCTCGGAGATGGCCTAAACCCAATCTTTCCCAGAAGAGTAGTTCCGTTAGCTTTCTAGATCGTGTGTTGTTTGCTTGTGTGTAGGGGTATGGTTTGCATCATTGGTGGGGATGCGACCATACTAGGTTGTTTGCTTAAGCAACTTGAAGAATAAAAGTCTACTCACAACATATCAGTAGGCAAGTGGTTTAGTACCTTATCTTTAGCAACCCCTCTCTTCCACCTCTCTTCCGTCCTGGCAGCGGATGGTCAGTGTCAGAGATAAGATCAATTAAAGTCACCAATCAATGGTTCAGTTGAAAGCTACAAGGTATCCCAGTGCCAGAAGAACCCTGCTCGTGATCAACATTTGGTGTCCAAGATTAGATGATGGATGTATTGATGCGGGAGATGCAAAGCTCGATGCAAGGTCAAGTGTAGCGGAAAGAACTCCAGCAGTAGTGTGTTGCAGTCAAGAGTTAGTGTGTCCATGAGCTAAATGAGAGTCACTTTTATGTGGAATTTCCTATCATCAACTAAGGCTTAAGTTCCAAATCTTGTCGGGATGAAAGTG